GCCTAATTTGTGTGTAGAGAAAGATAGTATAATTGGGTTGAAATTGTTCAAGTAACGTGTCGTGTTTAGTGCGGCCAAGCTTGGCCGTTAATGTTCTAGGTGTAATGTACTGCTGTTATGTGTTATCACGTTGTCTTTCCTTCCTTTCTCCTTTGTTCATTTCTCGCTTTGATTGTTAAAATTCACATTTGTAAATTTCACTGTTGTTGCTCTTAGTGTTATTTCTCTAACTTAGATTTTCTATAATAGTTCAATTTTTGTTTCAGTGTCCTTTAGTACAACGACGATTCCTGATGAGTGTTGTACGAAAGCTTGTTTGAATCCATATTTTTTCCCTTCACCATTTCTTCATATTTTCATCGTTTTATTGCACATCGTCTCCACCGTTTTTTACATTGCATGAATAAAGTACACAAATGTCGGTTCAGCTAGTTTTATTGATTGCGGTTATCAAATTGTTGTCTCCTCGCCGTGTGTTTAAGAAGATTATTATTTATTATTTTCCCGTTTGTCTCTTTCCCTTAAACTAGTGAAGATTTTATGACTTGGGGCTCCCCGCGTGTACGTGAAGTGTGTGGGTACAGTGAGGGCTGAGTCCCACCCGCCTGTGTGGATTCACAGGAAGTGTGAGTTACGAAGTCTGAAGAAAATGTGGAACAGTCTATGCTGGGATGACGACTACACCATAGCTCAGTGGTTAGAACATCGCTAGCTACAGAGGGTCCCTGGTTCGAGTCCTGGTGGTGACAGTCAATTTTTTCTTCAGACTTTTCCCGTTTGTCTCTTTCCCTCAAACTACATTATAGTGAAGATTATTATTATTACGAAGTAGTGGTTGCGACTTCGGCGATGATTTGTAAGAAAGGTTTGCTCCCCACAAGTAAAGTCGGCGGAATAGCGCGAGCTCCGGTGTGGGGAGCAAACCTTTATTATTATTATTATTATTATTATTTGGAAAGGATTGGGAGAACTTCAAATTCAAAGGATCAGTCGGGGAAGTGAACTGCCTGAAAAGAGAAAAAAACGCCAGACCCACCAGGACTCGAACCAGGGACCCTGCTTGTCATGAGCAATGCTCTAACCACTGAGCTATGGGACCAGGCTGAACCTAGAAGGCGCTGACAAGTTTTTTAGGCAGTTCACTCACCGACTGATCCTTTGAATTTGAAGTTCTCCCAATCCTTTCCAAATTTAATCACTTTCTTTCACCTCTGGTAGTTTCCAGAAACTGACCGTGGTTGGTCCCCTGGGGGAGGGAAAAAGACCCAAGTGCCATCAGTATGTGTGGCACGTGTTGTGAGCTGCCTTTGGAGTGAAAAACTTGTCAGCGCCTTCTAGGTTCAGCCTGGTCCCATAGCTCAGTGGTTAGAATTAGAGCATTGCTCATGACAAGCAGTACAGGGTCCCAGGTTCGAGTCCTGGTGGGTCTGGCGTTTTTTTTCTCTTTTCAGGCAGTTCACTTCCCCGACTGATCCTTTGAATTATTATTATTATTATTATTAAGAAAGGGTCCGCTCCCCACACCGGAGCTCGCGCTATTCCGCCGACGTTACTTGACACTTGACTGACTCACGACTGCCATCCAGAGCACACGAAAAGTCCATCGAACCTTCGACTCGGCAAACCTGCAAGAAAGCACCACTCCCTGCTCAATACACAGTGTTTCGGGGAATTCACCCCTCATCAGTTGAGCTTGAGTAGGCTGAGGAAAATTGTGCCTGAAGAGCACCACTTATATAGCGCTCTCCAGGCACAAACATCACCAGGGATACAAACTTACAGAGACGCTCCGTTTCCAGCGCGACAAACACCTCGTGAACACCAGATAGCAGCGTGAGTCAGTAGGGACCTTTCGCATTTGCTACGAAACGAATGCGAAACGAAAGTTTGATTCGGCTCGTAATCGTTTCGTTGAAAACAGATTTCAGGTTTCGCAAGTCGTCATGCAAATGTGCATGGCAACTACGAATACGGCCGCGGGCGCCGGTAGCTTGGCGTACGAGTTTTTACACGCACACGTGCATGGATCATGGAATCAAGGGAAAAATGTGTACCTTGCAAAACATGTGTACCTAGCTATCCAAATAAATGTGTACCTGACGGATTCGGAGCGCTAGCGTGCCACGAATGAAGAGGCTTCCATTCGTGAAAACGAGTTCTCCGCAGGGACTCTGACGAATCCTCGAACCCAGGTGACGAATCAGCATTCGTTTCGTATCCGTACGCGGGGTGCGAAAGGTCCCTAGTGTCGCTCCTGGACGGTGAGACAGACGTCGAGGACCCTCGGTAATTCGCAACGCTGTCACCTCCAAACCAACTAGTCGCAAGCCCGCGCTGGGCACAACAGTACGAAGTAGTGGTTGCGACTTCGGCGATGATTTGTAAGAAAGGGTCCGCTCCCCACACCGGAGCTCGCGCTATTCCGCCGACGTTACTTGACACTTGACTGACTCACGACTGCCATCCAGAGCACACGAAAAGTCCATCGAACCTTCGACTCGGCAAACCTGCAAGAAAGCACCACTCCCTGCTCAATACACAGTGTTTCGGGGAATTCACCCCTCATCAGTTGAGCTTGAGTAGGCTGAGGAAAATTGTGCCTGAAGAGCACCACTTATATAGCGCTCTCCAGGCACAAACATCACCAGGGATACAAACTTACAGAGACGCTCCGTTTCCAGCGCGACAAACACCTCGTGAACACCAGATAGCAGCGTGAGTCAGTAGGGACCTTTCGCATTTGCTACGAAACGAATGCGAAACGAAAGTTTGATTCGGCTCGTAATCGTTTCGTTGAAAACAGATTTCAGGTTTCGCAAGTCGTCATGCAAATGTGCATGGCAACTACGAATACGGCCGCGGGCGCCGGTAGCTTGGCGTACGAGTTTTTACACGCACACGTGCATGGATCATGGAATCAAGGGAAAAATGTGTACCTTGCAAAACATGTGTACCTATCCAAATAAATGTGTACCTGACGGATTCGGAGCGCTAGCGTGCCACGAATGAAGAGGCTTCCATTCGTGAAAACGAGTTCTCCGCAGGGACTCTGACGAATCCTCGAACCCAGGTGACGAATCAGCATTCGTTTCGTATCCGTACGCGGGGTGCGAAAGGTCCCTAGTGTCGCTCCTGGACGGTGAGACAGACGTCGAGGACCCTCGGTAATTCGCAACGCTGTCACCTCCAAACCAACTAGTCGCAAGCCCGCGCTGGGCACAACAGTACGAAGTAGTGGTTGCGACTTCGGCGATGATTTGTAAGAAAGGGTCCGCTCCCCACACCGGAGCTCGCGCTATTCCGCCGACGTTACTTGACACTTGACTGACTCACGACTGCCATCCAGAGCACACGAAAAGTCCATCGAACCTTCGACTCGGCAAACCTGCAAGAAAGCACCACTCCCTGCTCAATACACAGTGTTTCGGGGAATTCACCCCTCATCAGTTTAGCTTGAGTAGGCTGAGGAAAATTGTGTCTGAAGAGCACCACTTATATAGCGCTCTCCAGGCACAAACATCACCAGGGATACAAACTTACAGAGACGCTCCGTTTCCAGCGCGACAAACACCTCGTGAACACCAGATAGCAGCGTGAGTCAGTGTCGCTCCTGGACGGTGAGACAGAGGGTCCTCGGCGTCTTGTACGGGCAAAATAAACACAAGTGCAAGGTCAACAGCTTAGTACCGAGAGAAAATGAGCTGAAATGGCTGTGAAAACAGTCTTATACGGAGGAAGCTACAATGGCTGTGAAAACAGTCCAATAAGGAGGGAGCTAAAATGGCTGTGAAGACAATCTAATGCGTAGCAAGGCGAGCCTCAGCCTGGACGAGGTCGACAGGCACAAGGTTGATGTGACGACGGCGGCGAACGGAGCGTGATCCTCGAACGCACCGGATCGCAGACCTAGCAAGAGAGAAAGCCAAGCAGCAGCGCATCCAGCAAACGACTTTGCTGTAGCTCTCCTTGCGCTTAGAAGCCAGAGCATCAGCAATCCGCTTGACGACGATGTCTGCCTCTGGACCCATTCCGCCGCATGAGGAGAAGACCAGTGGTGTGAACGAGCCATGTTCAACTTGGTTAACTCTTTCTCCATACTCCCGCTTCTTGGCACCTTCCAAGTAACTAGTTACTTGCGATAAATGATCGAGTTCAACTCGAGTGACAGGACTGCACCCAAAAAAGGTCAAACAGGCTACTAGTATGTAGTAAGTAACTGCAGGCACGGCGACCAGCTGACTGGTGTACGCAGGAGCACGTGACCGCTTGTTCAACCATGTTCGATTGGGAATAAAGGAGGAACGCTGCGTCGCAGCCTTTTAGGACCAAAACCAGTCGACTCAGCGTCCAAAAGACTACAACATATGGGCCAATCGCGGTCATCCGTGCTTTTATAAGAACGACATGGCGCTTTTAGTGACATTTTGCATACAAATCCCCATCTAGTAGGGCGCAGTCACCCAGTTTCGGTGGAAGTGGGCGAGTTCGATTGGGATTCAAGTAGGAAGGGAGCGTCTCAGCTTTCTCGGACCAAGACCATTCGACTCAGCACCCCGAAGACTACAACTGGTGAAATTTTAATTTTTGCCTTTTAAAACGAACTTCCCCTTTAAATTTTGAATAGGGCAGTCCCACAGGCCCCTCGCCCCCGGCCAGGCCAACCGAAATAAATTCGGATTGCAAAGTCTCACTACTCGTACCCGTAGTAACCGACTGCCGAAAAAAACCCAAGCGCCTCGCGCGCGCCTCGCGCGGATAATCATGTTGTCATGATTTATCATGACTGTTGATCCATCATGACCAGGGACTGAGTAGTAAAAATTAGTATTTTACTACTCCCTGATCAGGACCATCATCCATTCCACGCACGTGCGCACGTAGATCTATGACTATGGGCTCAGTGTGTACCATGTGTACCGCGTGGGTTCGGACTTCAATCTGAGCTGAGCATGAGGGCTCACTCACACAAGCCGCTCAGGCTGCATGCTCGTCAAGGCAAACAAACACATGTACTAGTACTGGTTTGTTGAGAGGAAGAGCCAAGTACAATGTCCGGTTTGTTTCCTCTTGTCTGTTAGAAAGTAACTGCATGAGCACTTTATACGTCGCAGTATTATATTTTACTACTCACGCGTCCTTCTAAATTTTGAACTGTCCTTCCATTTTTTTCAAAATGAGACGAGCAAAGAACACAGAAGACGATTCGGGTGCAGAGGACAATGGAGGGTTTGAATCAACAGTTTCCAGTCCCAGTGACAGAGCTGGTGGTATCGGACAAGAACCCGCCTTGGGTGCCTCGTACCGATCATCCATGATGCGTGTGGTGATGCTATCGCTTCTGATTGAGTTGCTTGGATTCACTGTCATTCTGCCCCTTCTACCTTCTATTCTGGAGTATTATAGTAAAAGCGATCAAGTAAGAGAGATATGGGAATTTGCATTCATTTCCAATTTTCTATTTACTTGCAGAATCATTGTAATTATTGCATGCACAAGATTGTGTTCGATTTGAACCAGAAACCAAAAAAATAATATGGCAATGAATAAAGCATGCAGTCATAACGATGTAAAAGATCAATTTTAGAATGGCAATAAACAGAACCAGCTGAAGCGACATGTTACGTATGTAAAGTGGTGATGGACAAAGAAATAACGGTGATGGAAATATAATGTGAAGAACGAATAGGAACGATGAAAAATATAAAAATGCATCGAACTAGCTTTCGCACAATGCTCATCAGGAAGCATCACTGTACTAATTAACAAATTAATTGCATCACAGATTACTATAAAGGATCAATAATGATAAATAACACCTAAACAATGCCAAAAAAGTATCACAAGATATTCTTGAAAGATACCATGTGCGTGAAAGGTAACAATCAAACACTCCAAGGGGACAAAATTCAAGTATGAAACAACACTAGTGACAAAATTCTGGCCCAACAAGGCCAGACAAACACAACATTCTACTGGTTGAACAATTTCAAAAAGATAACACTCTCCTTTTGAACACAAAGGTCAGGCTTATGAATGCATTGGAACACAGCCTCCAACACTTTCACCTGTAACTGATAATCATGACGTCCACGACACAAAACGGAGAAACATGAATCAGAATACACTTCAACATTCAAGGGGAAGTTAAGGCAAAAATTAAAATTTCACCAGTTGTAGTCTTCGGGGTGCTGAGTCGAATGGTCGTGGTCCGAGGAAGCTGAGACGCTCCCTTCCTACTTGAATCCCAATCGAACTCGCGCACTTCCACTGAAACTGGATGACTGCGCCCTACTAGATGGGGATTTGTATGCAAAATGTCACTAAAAGCGCCATTTCGTTCTTATAAAAGCACGGATGACCGCGATTGGCCCATATGTTGTAGTCTTTTGGACGCTGAGTCGACTGGTTTTGGTCCTAAAAGGCTGCGATGCAGCGTTCCTCCTTTATTCCCAATCGAACATGGTTGAACAAGCGGTCACGTGCTCCTGCGTACGCCAGTCACCTGGTCACTGTGCCTGCAGGGTGCAACTTACTAGCCTGTTTGACCTTTTTTGGGTGCAGTCCTGTCACTCGAGTTGAACCTTGGTGTGAAAGTTGTCGCCTGCTGGCGTGGTGACCAGGTGATTTGGGCACCCAGGAGCACGTGACCGCTTGTTCAACCATGTTCGATTGGGAATAAAGGAGGAACGCTGCATCGCAGCCTTTTCGGACCAAGACCAGTCGACTCAACGTCCAAAAGACTACAACATATGGGCCAATCGCGGTCATCCGTGCTTTTATAAGAACGAAATGGCGCTTTTAGTGACATTTTGCATACAAATCCCCATCTAGTAGGGCGCAGTCACCCAGTTTCGGTGGAAGTGCGCGAGTTCGATTGGGATTCAAGTAGGAAGGGAGCGTCTCAGCTTTCTCGGACCAAGACCATTCGACTCAGCACCCCGAAGACTACAACTGGTGAAATTTTAATTTTTGCCTTAACTTCCCCTTTCAGGACGAGGTACCAAATGATTATACACAGAAGACTTACGAGGTCGAAACACACGCCCGCAGTCACTCTCACACTCTCCCATACCCACGCTCTCCCATACCCACAATCTCCCATACCCACACTCTCCCATACCCACGCTCTCTCTCTCACTCAACTCATTGCTAGAATCTCCTCCGTCAGTGCCGTTTCCGTCATCGTCCTCATCGTTGGCAGTCACGTCCAGTGTTGCCGTCACGCTGGGTCCCCTCCTTTGTCATTGTTGTTTGCCGGTATCATAGCTCATGCTGTAATTAGCTGTTGAACGTCTTGGTCTTTGAGAAGTTGTTGTAGTAGTCTGCTCCGATATTGACGACGGTAAGGTTTGGTCAGTAGGTGGTGGATCCGGCAAGGGGCGTATGCCTGGCGTTTGTTGAGGAGCCAGAGCACAGGTAGTGAGTGGGTGCTTCCATGGCCTGCCACGCCTCGGCCGATCTTTGCGTGCTACAATGCCGGCATTCAAAGTTGTATACAAGATGACTGAGTTGGTGTAGAACGTCCTTCAGCACCGTGCACCGTGAACGCACGCATCGATGTGTAGATTATATTTCCATCACCGTTATTTCTGTGTCCATCACCACTTTACATACGTAACATGTCGCTTCAGCTGGTTCTGTTCATTGCCATTCTAAAACTGTTGTCACCACGCTGCCTGTTTTTAAAGATAAATGTTCTAATTTCCAAAGCGTTTTCGCTTGACACTACTCTCTTCTGGATGGCGCCCGGACAGACGCCAAACTCCAGGCATTGCTTGAGAAAGGTGACATTTAACGCAATACCCTACAAACATAACGCTTTCGAAGTTTCGAAGCACATTATTCAGACATTCCGTCTGATCGCAAGTGTATCTCCGTTGAAGATATTTAAAAACAATCGTCGAGGAGACAGTAAGCGTAAAATGGCAATGAATAAAACAAATTGTGCAGTCTTACGCTATAATGTCCACTAACACCACCAGTTACTAAACATTCAGCTCATGCGATAACATTGCACGACATTTACCGACGGTACTGACGTTCATCATTTCTAGGAACTGGTGAGAAGGCATCCTTGCCTATAAATCTGATGAAGTAAAATAAAACAACAACAACGTTCTACAACTAACTGGATTTTTGTCACTTGGCTCGTCTTAGTCAGACTGCCGGAATCACTGTTTTCTGTGTTCGAACATTGGTGCGATCCATACTGCGCAATGCTCTAGCACATCTTGTCATCGTCAAAGTACAGTGCTGTTCTGCTGAGGCATTTGGTTTTGCAGGATTCTTGTTCACATAGCTTCCCCTTTATTTGACCTTTGAGCCACACAAGTTGTGTGGAATGTTGCTTTGCGTCCTTGAATCGTGGTTTGACCGTGTTGTCCAATGGTCTTGCCAGTATCGTCATCGACATGCATGCACATCCGCCAACGTCCTTCACAGCTGAGACTTTCAGCTCGTGCTTGTCTTGATTGCGCTCACCTTCCCCTCCTATGTTTTATACCTTAGAACCTTCCAAGTTGGAATGCTATTGGAGTGCGCATCTAAGATGTGCTAGAGCTGATATCCAGTTAGTTGTAGAACGTCAGTACCGTCGGTCAGTGTCGTGCAATGTTATCGCATGAGCTGATTGTTGTGTAACGTGGTGTTTTTGGACATTATAGCGTAACTTGTAGTTCCTTGGTCCTTTTTCTTTTCTATAAATTTATCCTTGGCTCTCCACCCGGATATAATATCAGTGAAATAACATTCTCGGAGACAGGAAACTTATAAGGCCACCATTCATTGATTCTATGGCTGCGTTCGTTTTTAGCTACCTGGTAGAGTAGAGTAGAGTCACTCTACCGATAGTGGCATCTAGTAGTAGTGGTAAGTGCACGAACGCTGTTCTACTGGATTTAGTAGTTGTTCACGATATGTACGTGAAATGTTTCTCTTCTGTATGAAGTTGTGTACAACTCCTTGATCTTGCTGGAAATCCCGTACCTCTGCCAGCCTCTACCGGCTTCTGCCTACTTTTTTCCTGGTAGAGCCGCTAGAGGAAAGTAGAATCTACCCTTTTGAGTAGAAAAAAACACCTCTAGCGAAAGAAGTAGTTTCTACGCAAACCTGTAGATCAAAAACGAACGCCCCCTATGTTTCGCGTCAGTTCAACTTCCAGAATCATAATTATGTGAGAGGTGGAAAAAATAAAAAAAGTTTCAAAAAATAAAAAGGCTCATCAGAGGTGTATGTATATCACAATAGCTCGTGCATGGTGTACATTCGAAAGAAAAATCGTACATCGAAGCACAAAATCTGGGTTAGCAGCATGAGTAAAATATTCACTTTGGACAGAGGAGGCAACCGTTGGTGTCCATGCTTTGCTGCGTTATTGTACTTAGCTTTCAGCAGCGATGCAAAGAGGTGCGGAACGACGCATCCTCTCAGCTTGAGGCGATCGATGCGGTCTGGTGTACGCTCATAGAATACTGATCGCAGTTGCCGAACAAATGATTTACCAACCCTGGCCTTGAGGCCATTTCTGAATCCCAGCTTTGACGTATGCAACCAGTCCACGCGCATGATGACTCGCACAATCGTACACTCACTGTACATTTGCATGGTCGATTTTTTTATTTTTTCCGGAAAAAATCTAAACTTATGCGAAACATAGATATAACGAATGATGGCCTAAAGGAAAGGGTGACCATAACAACTTAGGGTGCGTTCTTATGTCCAAAGTTCGAGACACTCCGACAAGTTGGAGAAATGTTCTTGTATCCTCTCTTTTTAATTTTGGAGACTTCAAAGCTCTCCGAGCTTCAAAGAAGATAGTTGAAACTTGGAGATCCCTGCGCTTTGAGGTCCACGCATGCGAACTACTGCGAAAAGCCACGTATTGATCATAGGCGTATGACATTCTCTTTTCACTTACTCAGTCACATGCACAGGGTGTACTACATTCGAGTCACTCAAGATCGCGGCCACGTTGGAGCGCATGTGGGAAAGATCTCTAAATTCCCCGAGACCTGTTCCTAAATTATTCCAGCTTCTTCGACTGCCAGGATAAATTTCTCCGAGAAGCTAGAGAAAATTCGAACCCACCCAAAGTGATGTACTTAGCGAAGAAATATAAATTAGTTTTGCTTCTGGTCTTGCAAAACTTTCTGCAACTGTTCGTACGAAGTTAGTGTTGTGCATGGTTTTTTTCTCCAAGACAGTATGTGTGCACTCGCGCTTGTTTGAGAAGTGGTCTTCATCTGACTAAGATTTTATTTGTTGTGAGTGGCAGCACCTGGAGACGAGAGCTCTTTGACTACGTTGTCCATGGCCGGAGATCCGCAGACAAACAGGTTGGCCTGTGCCGTAATCCGGCGCACCTTCACCAGCAAATCTAACAGCACCACTGATGTAGCAGCCGATTCTTCTGGGAAGATGAGCAGGCAGGAGATCAGAGATGGTTCCGGAGAGCGATACGGGAAATTAGCAGTAGCGCTGACCAAGCCAAGAGTAGATCTACTGGATTGTAAGGATAAAGCACAAGTTGAGGGTTGAGGGTGGTTCATCACCGGTCCGCTATCAGCGAAAATTATTGGGAAAGTTTGTCTCGCATTTCCTTAATTTAAATCTTTTTCACCCTTTCATCGTACATGGATGGCTGCATGGTGCCAGTGTAGCTCTGTCGAACTTGCAGTGAAATGCACCGTGCGCATGCAGCTGCAGCACTGCTATGGAGTGTGTGCGTGCATTTGCATGCATGCTGCTTACTTCGAAATAGTGCCATGCAATCCCCTCTTGTTTTCTCCTGTTTTCCTTCTTTGGTACGTTTTCGTTTACTGTGCTCCCCAGAATGGCTTGTACACGTGGGTCCTATCCAATGTTAACCAGTTTCGTGTTAGCATTGGCGGGCCACAATTGGAGAAATTCAACACCGTCTTATTTGGTGGTAAGTGCAGTTGGTGCCACGCCAAGAGACGGGAGGTACTGCAGTTGTGTGGCATACGTGTACTGACAACCTTCTACAGATCAGTACAGATCACTACACTACACTACAGATCAGTACACTACAGATCACTACAGATCAGTACACTACACTACAGCCAGTACAGACCCAGTACACTACAGATCACTACAGATCAGTACACTACACTACAGATCACTACAGATCACTAGACACTACAGATCACTACACTACACTACAGATCACTACACTACACTACAGATCAGTACACTACACTACAGTACACTACACTACAGATCAGTACACTACACTACAGATCACTACACTACAGATCACTACAGATCAGTACAGTACACTACAGATCACTACAGATCACTAGTACACTACACTACACTACAGATCAGTACACTACACTACAGATCAGTACACTACACTACAGATCAGTACACTACACTACAGATCAGTACACTACACTACATATACAGTACACTACACTACAGATCAGTACACTACACTACAGATCACTACACTACACTACAGATCAGTACACTACACTACAGTACACTACACTACAGATCAGTACACTACACTACAGATCACTACACTACAGATCACTACAGATCAGTACAGTACACTACAGATCACTACAGATCACTAGTACACTACACTACACTACAGATCAGTACACTACACTACAGATCAGTACACTACACTACAGATCAGTACACTACACTACAGATCAGTACACTACAGATCACTACAGATCACTACAGATCACTACAGATCACTACAGTATCACTACACTACACTACACTACACTACAGATCAGTATACACTACACTACACTACACTACAGATCACTACACTACACTACACTACACTACAGATCAGTACAATACTGCAGTGTAGTACAATAGTCATGTTGGTTGTTTCCTGTGCCCAGGGGTATCAGACTGACTTTGGAAGACGGGTTGTTTTGAATTTTTCTCCGACAGTTTCTGAGACTTCTGCCCATATACCTTTTTTAGTTTTCCTTCAAGCTAATTCTTTTGAAGCAATCATTGATGTTCTCTGTAGGCGTCCTTTTTAGTACATCCTATGGCTTGACACGTGTTGGTCTGCTTTCTTCTTCTTCTTTGCAGGATTAATTGGTTCGCTGTTCTCCTTTCTGCAATTCCTATCCAACCCCATCATTGGTGCCCTCTCTGACGTGTATGGCCGCCGGCCCATTCTGCTTTTATGTATGGTGAGTAGAGTACACACACACACACACACACACACACACACACACACACACACACACACACACACACACACACACACACACACACACACACACACACACACGCACACACACACACACACACGCACACACACACACACACGCACACGCACACAAGTACACACACACATACACACACATGTACGGACGCGCATACAGTCAACTTCGCTAATAATGACTGCGGATATAACGACAATTCGCGAATAACGACAGAATTTCCATGCCCAGAGCAAAGTCCCATCTAACTGTATACATTTAACTTCGGATACAACGACTATCTGAATAACGACAATTCGCGAATAACGACATGCTTTTAGTGCCCCGAGGTCATATTCACTGCTTGAATAACGACTTTCTGGGCTTTTGACAGCTACAGTGTATTTCAAGTACCTGTCATGCAGAAGTACCAGAACCCATGCCATGCATGGCGGTGGATAAAGGCACACATGCAAGAAGATGCAGCCAAGGGGGGGGGAGGGTGTTTTTTATTTTTTTTGCTTCTAAATACATGTTGGAGTGATCAGCACAACTACAATGTCCTGTAGTTGTAGGTCTACTATACATGATTGTACAGTAATCATCATACATGTCATGTACATGTCCCTGTAGATGGCTCCAAAACTTGCAAAAGACTAGTTTTTCATTTCCCTTCCATATCGACTGTATAGTTCCTTTCAATTGTACATGTAATATGAAAATGGGGTACACATTGGTATAGAGCATGAAAAAAGCTTCATTTTGATATGCGGGTCATACTATACAAAAATAGGGGTTCACATACATTCAAATGGGACTTCGGGTATAAGGACACTTCGCGAATAAGGACATTTTTCCGATGCCCCGCCGAATGTCGTTATAAGCGAAGTTGACTGTACACACGCACCACCACCACCACCACCACCACACTGTCAACCATACCAGACTCCACGCAGTATCTTGCACTGTTCTTTAGCTTATTGATCTGCTATAAGTAGTTACGGTAGATCCATTGACCTGAGCATGTGAATTATTGTGTCAGTGGTGCATTACGGTACGTTAGCCACCACCTGGATTAGTAGAAGGTCCCCAGTACTCGGCAGTAGTTCAGGGGCCCTACCTGAAATGCAGAGCCACCACCTAGATTAGTAGAAGGTCCTCCCAGTAGTTCAGGGGCTCTACCTGAAATGCAGAAGAAAGTGTGAACACCGTATGAATTTGGAATTGAATTGTCTTGTGACAGCATTCACATTGGACTGTTTGCTATTCTTGGGTGTTGGTTTCGTTCTGTCCCGTTCTCTCTAGGCTGGCATGGTGTTGTCTTACGCTGTATGGGCAGTGTCGTTCTCTTTCGAGGTCTTCCTGATTGCGCGCGTGATTGGTGGCATAGCTCATGGCAACGTCAGCCTGTCCACGGCAATTGTGGCCGACATCACGCCGCCCAAGAGCAAGCAGCGCTCCAGAGGAATGGTGAGTGAGCTCTGCAAGTTGCGAGTGCGTCGCGTGCCTTGATGCGTGTCTCGCCCACTGGTTGCAGGAATGCCCGCGGCGAGACGCGGCGTTTGCTTGTGCAGGCTGTTTGGCCGGATCTGGTCTGGAGTTGGTTGTATCCGCTTGTATTGGGACGGGAGCAATGCCCTTGCAGTCGTGTACACCTGACGGCTGTGTGCTGTTGTGTGACAGATATCGGACTCAATGGTGTCTGTACGTCCGGTCATTGTGTATCTACATGTATGTATTGACTCCTTGAATGCTCCACCCTATGTGCTGCTGCTGCTCACATTTATACATGTTAGAGGCCATCTACATGTATAATGACTTTCACGAAACTAAAACTCCCTCGTCCGTGGGTGGTGGGTCGAGACCAGGTTTCGTTTCGAAAAATATATTAATCGCTTCACAGGTTGGATTGCACGTGTAAATGATGCAACTAAACTTTTTCGTTCTGTGAAAATTATCGCTAATGCCGGATGGCTCCTGAGCCGGTCAATGTTGCACTTGTACATCCTCTCTTTACCTGCCGGTATCTCTGGGCTTGATATTCATGCTGTGTTCTTCTCGTGCTGTCTGCTGCTTGCATTGTTTTGTGCCCAGGCCATGATCGGCGTTGCTTTCTCCATCGGATTCATAGTCGGTCCCATGATAGGCGCTGCCTTCTCGATGTACGGCGTGCGCGCGCTGCTCTCCAGTCGAGAATACCCGTTTCAGCTGCCCGCCCTGTTTGCTGTGGCCATGGCCACCTTGGACTTGCTGTTCCTGTGGCGACGGTTCCGCGAGACGTTGCCGGAGAAGAACAGAGTAGGTGCCTGGATGTGCGCGTCTGTCCCGTGTAAAAAAACATCCTTTTCATCGCATGGACTTTCACACCGGGTTGAAAATTCTCGACCTGATCGGGCAATTTTAATTTCGACTTCACTTTGACGTCATTGACAAGATGAAGAAAATTTGATGTTTTTCAGTGGATCTCCGGAGAATAACCATATTCACCGTCTATTTAGTCTCATTTCCACTATTGGACTAAATTTGCAATGTTTATGATAGTTCCATGAAAATTGGCATGGAACATTCATATCCAGAGATTCACCGGAAACATTTTCAATCTCATCTTCATGTTGCCGATAACGTCCAAATTGCCCATTTAAAGTTGCACCGTCCCAGCCACCTAAATACCTTTAGGGCTTATTATTCGAAAGGCACCGTCAAAAGTGCCTTTAGAGTTTTGTACATGTGTAATGCCAGGTTCTGATACTATTATTACAGTGGTCCCTCTATAATCCGGCACCATTTGTGCCACGAAAATCTGCTGGATTAGGGAGGGTGCTGGATTAACAAATCTGATTTACTGCTGCAATGTGCATGAAGAGGACATTTTGGCTACTGAAAATTGTGCTGGTTTATCGAGGGTGCTGGATTATAAAGTGCCGGATTAGAGAGGGACGACTGTATTATTCCCATAGCTATGCAGAAGACGTTACTTCAGTAACGTCTGGCGCTAGCCAGGGTCCACACAGCTTTAATTTGGTGTTTGTTTGTTTGTTTGTGTGTTTGTGTCACGCCTGGCGCTATCCCGTATCTGTCCCGTACCGTACCGTACCATCAAACACAGCTGGCCACATACAGCTGGCCGCAATATTCAAATAGGGCTTTCAAACGCAAGATCATAACGTGAAGCAACTTGGAAGAATGAGTATGAATGCGAAGTGTATGGGGGAATGCATGTGGGGCGATAGTACGGGTTCGAATCCCAGGTAATGCCTAAAAAAATAGGAGAATTGAAAATTTTATAACATCCCTTTCTTTTTTTGCCGTCATCAAGGCAGTAGACGGTGTCGTATTACCCTCGACCGCACCTGTCCCGTACCTGTCCCGTACCGTACCTTACATTCAAAGACGGCTGGCCACAATGCATATTCAAATAGGGCATTCAAATACAAGATCATAACGTGAAGCAACTTGGAAGAATTAGTATGTATGCGAAGTGTATCGGGGGATGCATGCAGGGCGAATCCCAGGTTTAAAATATGTCTAAAAACAAAAAGTAGAAACTTATAAGAATTTATAACATCCCTATGCTTTTTTTGTCTAGGTCATCAAGGCAAAAAAGCAAAGCGTAGGGCCCTGAGCTTCCAAGCTCTCTCGTTGCTGGACGTGGTGTGCATGTGTAGTGCCAGGTTCTAATCCTATTGTTGTTGTTGGACGTGTTGTGCATGTGTAGTGCCAGGTTCTAATCCTATTGTTGTTGTTGGACGTGGTGTGCATGTGTAGTGCCAGGTTCTAATCCTATTGTTGTTGTTGGACGTGGTGTGCATGTTTGGTGCTGTTGTAGGCGTCCTCTCTCGGTGATGGAATCCAGGATGCCGTGGGTCTCATCAATCCTGTATCGTTGTTCACCTTCAGCTCGGCTCTGCAGACGTCCTCCAGCAAAGACCAGCAGTCCGTACGACTGCTCGGCTGGACATACTTCCTCTACTTGCTGCTCTTCTCCGGCTTGGAGTATTCTCTGACGTTCTTGACTCACGACAAGTTTCAGTACTCAAGGTACAGCTTGCCACCTTGGTTGAGCTCAAGCTGTGTATACTGGTACTTTGAAGTATGCGGTTGCAGGATGTGTGCATTTTTACTGTACTGTTGTGGAAATTTTGTGTTATTGCAGTGTATGTGCGTGAGTGTGTGTGTGTGTGTGTGTGTGTGTGCGCGCGTGTGTGTGTGTGTTGGGTGCGCGCGTGCGTGTGTGTGTACGTGTGTGTGTGTATGTGTACATTAGTTTTTTGTACACTTGTATACGTATCTCCGTGCAGTGCTAAGTACTAGTTTTTTTTCTCTGCTTTGTCTTTGCACATGCATGTCGTTGTGTAATAGCATGCAGCAAGGCAGGATGTTCGTCTTCATCGGCGCTATCATGGCTCTTGTGCAAGGTACGGCGGCGACAGTGATGCGCTGTTTCTGCTCCGGGGGGGGGGTCTGACCTGGCAATGCTGACACACAGTATGCTAGCACTGACCTGTAGTGGTGCTCAAGTATTAGTTATTCAAACATCTTCAGTTGTCTGATGAGTGCCTACGGGCATGAAACTAGTACATGTACTAGTAGTTACACCGAAGATGCGTGGTGCTCTGTGCCTTGTGTGTAAGATAGCTCTGTCCGCATGAACAGTGAGCACTCCACCCAGCCGGGTGGCTCTTACTTAGAAACATCTAAAGTAAAATTCTAAAATTCTAAATACGTAAAGTTGAGCTCAACTTTACGTAAGTGGGCGGGAAGCCCGTGGATTCGAGAGTTACGGGAAGTTGTCTACGTAGAGTACTGGTGTGTACGTAGGGCTCTGATAACGGCGGTGCTCCATAAGTGGATTGGATTTCGTGACTCTCTCCCTAGGTAGTATCCTGTCGCATTCGGTGTCGCCAAGGGAAATTCTGGCCTTCTCAATCCCCGACCACCATCCCCTCCTGGAGTGATTACTTTTATAGGCTATCCTGGCTCTGAACTTCACACCTGAAATTATTGGTCAACCGCCCTCAGCCTATCAGAGTTCAGCAAGTATTGTTTGTTGTTTCTGCATGTAGAAGGAGTTCATCAGCAAGCTTGTTTCTTCTTGGCTTGCTGATGGCTGAACTCCACCAACAACACTTGCTGAATTCAGAAAATTCTAGCTACGTGATTCAAAAATTCCGTATGGCAGAACGCTGTCCATATGGAGTACATGTATACGTAAGACTTTCCGTAAATCCACTACGTTTTGTATTGACGTAATTACGTTGTGCAGAACCTCTCTAATGTCACAATTTTTGCCCAATTTCGCTTGTGTGATGGTGGTGGTGTCCTTATCAATTTGACTGTGCCTCGTGATCCTCTTAGGTGGTTTCTTGAGGAGAATGAAGCCTGGATCTGAGAAGCGCACGGCGACTATTGTAAGTGAACTGCACACACCGTGGATGCGTGTATGTGCTCGCGCTCGTGTGTGTGTGTGTGTATCTCTGTGTGTATCTGTCTATCTGTGTGTATATCTTTGTGCGTATCTTTGTGCACTGCCACTAGAAATTTCGTAGTATTTGATTTAGTATTTCCGTGGAAACCGTAGACTGTTTCTGTTTTTTATGCCTGTGTGCGTGTCATGTGCATGTATTCATCTTCTCAGGGAATGGTAGCTTTGATTCCTGGAATGTTCATGGTTGGCCTGGCTTCATCCACAGTTCTGCTCTACTCTGGCCTAGCCCTGTACTCCTTTGGTGAGTGGTTGACAGTGTGATAAACACTTGGTCTGGTGGTGTGTGGTATGACTGGTATCCTGATCCAACCTGGGCACTTTTGTCGTCCTAGCCTGCATCTGTCTCGTCGGAAGTTAATCAAGGACTGTATGAATCTCTAAAGCCTGATTCATACTTCATTTCGCGCACGGGAAACGTGTCGCATCGCGAAAAAGTTGATCTGAGCTCAACTATTTCGCGTACGGGAAAGTCATCGCGTGATTGCCTTCGCCATCCTAGATGTTTCGCTCTGGTGGGGGATTGCCTTCGCCATCCTAGATGTTTCGCTCTGGTGGGTTATGGTGTAATGTGATTATGAAAAGTACACCACTTCCTTTCTTTGTCTTGTTGAAAAGTTTGCTATCTCTATCTCCTTTGTTGTACAGGTGCTGGCACAGTCGTGTCCTGTTTAACAACAATGGTGTCAGACTACGGTAAGCGCTGGCTGTGTCTCTGCCCTCTCTGCGATTACCTTGGAGAGTCTCCCGTTTCTTTGCCCCCGTCTGCCGTCATGTACCTGGTCCTGTTGCATTGTGACCGCTGCTGCTCATGTGCCGTTTTGACTTGGAACTCACTCGACCTCAACTCTCTTTTTCTTTTTGTTATGGCCCCATGTGTTCTATGTGCGCTGGAGTACTGCCACCGTACCAGGTCACGGCCCTAAAGGCATTTTTCCTGGCATGCTTTTTTCAAGTTGCACATGTACACATGAATGTCAAAACTAAAAACTAAAAAAAAAACTAGTAGCTCCGTTCTGGTCTCCTCCGCTGCTGTTTGGTGTTGTGTGCAGGGAGTGTCAGCGAGAGGGGACGCGTCCTGGGCATCTTCCGGTCCCTGGGGGCTTTGTCCCGCGCCATTGGCCCTGCCCTGTGCTGTTCAAGTAAGTGGCGTTCTGTTCTGTTGGCATGGCGCTGTCTTAGTGTTACGGGAACCCTTTTGCCCTGTTCTTAGCGCAGCGTATATTCTAGCCGTTTGGACTTCTTAGTATACTCCAGCGTGTATATCAATACAATAGGAGAAAAACAAACATGTCCATGTATATCAATACTGTTGAATTCGAATTAGGACGACTGACAACGGGAACAAGTTAGTGGTGGAACGACATTTATTAGAGACGGGACAAGAGACCAAGACGAACGAAACGACTACATGGTGATTATTGACGAGTGAGAAAAGAGAGAGAGTCTGAACGGCAAGATAAAGGGCCTGGGTAGCTATGGCAAATATGGGCGCGCAAGTAGCTACCCAGGCCGACGGAACAAAAGGAGACAAAAGGTGAGTACGCAAGTGCATACAGGCCAGCTAGAAAAGGTACGGGAGGAGGTACCTAACATACCACCCCTCCATGAAAAAAATCCCGCGTCCTCGCGGAGAGAAAAAAAGAGAGAAAAAGATTTTAAAAAATGACTGGAGGAGAAAACACACACACACACACACACACACACACACACACACACACACACACACATATTGCACGCGCGCACGGATCTCACGAAAGTGTTTACTAAAATGCACTACAGATCATTCCTGTACTACTTATAGTGTGTAATAACTATTGGAGTTTGACGAGGAACGTGAATTACTAGTATTTTGCACGGCTAATACAGCCTAGTTACACTTTTGCTAAACATCCAAAAATTAGAGCGTGGCTCACCATGATCGGACCCCTAACTTGGTAATGTTTTACGAACACACGCGCGCGCACACACTACAAAAAAATTCGGGAAAATAAATTTGACGAAGAAGCATACAAAAAAAAAAGAAAGAGAGAAAGGTAGCTGACCTGCATGGCTTGAACGAGACGAGGTTGACATAGACGAGACGAGGTTGATAGAGACGAGACGAGGTTGGCGTAGGAGAGACGAGACTGACATGGACGAGACGAGGTTGACATAGACGAGACGAATGGCGGTTGAGGACGGCTGGGCATGGGATGATCTCAGGGTCGTGGGTCGATCAATAATCGGGCGCCAATGTTGAATTTGAATTAGGACGACTGACAACGGGAACAAGTTAGTGGTGGAACGACATTTATTAGAGACGGGACAAGAGACCAAGACGAACGAAACGACTACATGGTGATTATTGACGAGTGAGAAAAGAGAGAGAGTCTGAACGGCAAGATAAAAGGGCCTGGGTAGCTATGGCAAATATGGGCGCGCAAGTAGCTACCCAGGCCGACGGAACAAAAGGAGACAAAAGGTGAGTACGCAAGTGCATGCAGGCCAGCTAGAAAAGGTACGGGAGGAGGTACCTAACAATACAATAGGAGAAAAACGAACATGTCCATGTACATCAATACAATAGGAGAAAAACGAACATGTCCATAGGACATGTAGTAAGATCACAATATTCCTCCTGTGTTAAACCCCGCATCTTGGACCGCAAGATATTCTGTCGTACAGTCTTTTCAGATGGGCCTTGGGGAGACTGTACTCACGTGCTAATTGCAAAGTACTGTTGACCCCCCACCCCAGCCCCCCTTGTCGATTTACCAGCTGTGCAGCGACTCCAGTGTGCCAGTTTCCTTCAAAATACGGTATTGCACCGATGGATGTACTACTTTATGCAACAAATACTGGAATTACATATCAGTGCAGTCATTTCAATGGATAGAACTGTGTACACTGTACAGCCCAAGTTCAGTACGGTAATTCTAACCTTTCACACTTGACTGTGTAGTTGTACAAGTACTTCGAAGTACATACATATGAAGTAGTATATGATTGTACTGCACTTTACAGCCTTGGTTTGAAAGTCCCGCTCTCCTCTGTAAGACCAGCTGGGAAGCCGAATGCAGCGATACCGTGTGTGCGTATGTGTGTGTGCGTATGTGTGTGTGTGTATGTTTGCGTGGGAGGGGAGTGTTTAATATTAATGACATTTGTGTATAATCAAAGTGACTAATAAAGCTCCTCTGGCATGCTATTCTGCTGCTGCTGTAGTTTATTGGAGTGCCGGTCCGTGGGTATGCTACATGCTTGGTGGTCTGCTCTTCATCGTCCCAATTCTCCTTCTCCAGCGCGTCAAGGCAACCAGTGAATGAGAACTGGCTGTGCTTGCAGTGTCCGAGCCGCAATGGTGTGCATGAGAACTGGCTGCACTTGCAGTGTCAGGGCCGCAATGGTGTGCTCAGTGCACTGCACTGCTGGCTTTCTCGCTGTTCTTCTTGCTGTGCTTGTTTGCTGTTCTTGCTGGTTGTTGTCGTCGTCGTCGTCGACGATGATGTTTTATTATTGTTGTCGTCGTCGTCGACGATGCTGAAGATGTTTTTGTTGGTGGTGGTGGTGGTGGCGGTGGCGGTGTTCTGGCCGTGCCTCCACTCCCACTGGCACATGATTCAACGTTGTATGTGTGTCACGCCGAAGATTATCTTTTGAATTTTACTCTCTTCCTGGACGTACGAATTCCACTCCCCTTTTTCGGCGTTTGACTTTTTTTCTAGCCTACATGTCTTACCAGACACTAGTACGATATTCTTGTTAGTTCTGAGCTCTATTTCCATTCTCACCTCTAGAGTTTATGCGTAGGCAGGGTGGGTTTTACTTGTTTTCCAGGTTTTTAGGTTTTAGTTTTAGATAGAAGTTTCAGCTGTGCAGCAGTGCTTACGGCCACGGAGAACTAAATTATTTTCCTGTTGTTTTTTTTCCTCCTTTGCGTGGCACTGTTCTGTGATGCTGACAGTAGTGATGGCGCTGCTGTTGCCGTTGCGGGTGCTGCTGCTGCTGCTAGTATTACTAGTATTAGTACTGCTGCTCCGACGGAGTCAGCTGCTGGCGTTTTCTTTAATAGCTGTTCACTAGTGTCCGCCCATCCGGTGTAGTCTATGCATTGCCATTCTTGTCCTGGTAGTCTAGGTGTATGGGGTGTAAAGCAGACGTATCCTGGCTCTTCTCTTGACTGGTGTTGTTGGGTTGCCGTGCGATTCTAACATTGTCTCCTGATCCCTGATTCTTTTTCAAGTTTCCGTTGAGCATCTTAATTTTTTGCCCCGTGACACTTTGCTGTGTAGACACAAGTACATGATTGTATGATAACTTTCTTCTCGAATCAATGCATTGTGCCTTGTGTTTGCTGATACACGATGTACCAGTACCTCACTCTAACGCAGTGGAATCATTGACTACTGGCGTCCGGTGCTCTTATGTCTGCTGGCAGTAGGCCCAGACAGATTCTGCCGGCAATTCTTTCGGCAAAATATCGAAGAATTGAAAGAGCGGAAATTGCCGGCAAAATCGGAGCAAAATATCGAGATGTTGGGTAAAATCGATGCCTGATACTTGGATTTCCTTGTTTTTTACCCGTTCAGCAGGATACACTGCCCACAGGACGAGATCATGTCACCGAAATATCTCTGGGATTCACTGTGGATCGACTTGATTTTGGAAGAATTCAGGGACACGTGCGTTGAAACCCGTGTTGAGAAACCGATCCTGCGATTTTTATGAAACGTTGTACGGGATTGTACGGGAAGTATTAAGTGGATACAATGCACGTTTTCCCGGAGCAAAATATCGAGTTTCTTGTGCCAGGCTCGGCAAAATATCGAAGATTTCGCAGCAACATTTTGCCGCAAAATATCGAGGCGACCGGAGCAGAATCTGTCTGGCCAGACGATATTTTGCCGAGCCTGGCACAAGAAACTCGATATTTTGCTCCATTTTGCTCCGGGAAAACGTGCATTGTATCCCAGCTGGGCCTAGCTGGCAGTGAGTCTGTACATGATACTACTGTGGCTAGCTGTCCTGGCCAGGATGGCATGCGTTGCATGCATGGGCAGCTCCTCCACTTGCATGCAGTAGAAGCAACACATTCACTCAACCGCAAGCAACTCGCACATGCATGTACTTCACGAAGTACACAAAAAGTCAAAAACCTTCCCTGCACCTGCACAATCCTAACGCACAAATGCATACACACAGAGTCAGAGGATGCCATCTGAAATCTAAACGGCCAATTCCAGAACACAAATTGAAACTAATCACCATACCAGAATGCGAAAAATAACAGAGCATTCCCTATAATTACTACGACTCGCATATCATCAGGGAGACCAGCTCCCAGGATCTGAGCATACAGCATCGTGTAAAATCCGTGCAACGTCTATTCTAGAAAAATAAGTTGAAACTGCATCACCACGGCGCAGAAGAACAGTCGAAAATTAAAAATTAGGTAAAATCTGTCAAAAGCAGCTTCTACTCTACACTAGTGTCTGCACCAACGCCAATACATAAGCTGAGGTAGAATGATAATACACATACACAATAAAATTACGATGGCCTAGGAAAGACGAAAAAATACCCTGCAGAAATACTACGCCCATACAAAGGTACCGTATTTAATAAGAAAGTAAACGTACGAAGAAGTGATTTTCATCGATCAAGGGCGAGTTGGGTATACTGAAAACAAGGACGTAAAGTTCGTTTTGATAATAATATCAGAAGTAGAATAATCGCTACAACAAATCTCCATCGACACGCATTAGGGACTACATGTAGTCTCTCTCGAATACATGTAGTCTCTCTCGAATAGAACATCCACACACTTACCGTGAACTAAAATACCGGGACTTTGAAAATATCGATAAAAATAAATACTGCCGCGGGGTACAATAAATAGTGAAAAAATCACGGTTCGCGTGAGACTCGGCTGAAAGCCGAGTTTTCCTAATCCACAGGAACGCCATCACCCTCCTGGATCAAGGCACATATGCCTCTCTGGGTCTGATCTGAAATAGTGAAAGCTGGCAAAAAAAGTGGAAAGATCTGTGTTCAGCGGCTGTTGCTTTTCGACTTGGCCGCCGGCCGTAAGTTGTTCAGCATAGCCATGCGACGTTTGATCTCATCCCTCGTCTTCTTGCCCAAGCTGCCGTGGATGTGAACGGGCAAGTGCCAGCCACGCTGGCAGCTGCTGATCACCTGCCGGACGTGCGTTCTTACACGCTCGCTAGTGTCGCATGAACTCATGCCGTACGGAAGCAGAAACCCGAGACTAACAGGAACGCATAGCACGAAAAGAAGAAGAGATACACGTGATGTACACTTAAAAACAATGCACAGAACCTAGCTAGCCGCTGGCTGGCAGACCATTACATGTACTAGCAGACGTTCTAATACAACGCAGGTCATGGTGCACACACTTCAAAGTACAATGTATATTATCATTGTCATTTGATAGCACACCGCTGTCGAGAAACCACTGCAGGCCACAGGCAACACTCACTTTGCTAAGTCAGACATGTACGCATTCAGAGTAGCTTTCATCGCCGCAAACACCTGTGGTGTCAGAACTCCGTCGTCGCTCCAGTCAGAACACTAAACACACACACACACACACACACACACACACACACGCAGACCAGCAGAGAAAGAGGCAGAAAGATACAATACACAGTAAGCACAACAGCAACAGCAACAGCAGCAACGCTCGGTTAGGGGCCGTCCTTAATTATCGATCTTTTTCACGAAGAGAAAAAGTTTTGTATTGAAAAATATCGATAACTGAAACATGCAGTGCTGCCAAACCGTCCGATTTTTCGGACAGTGTCCGATTTTTGAAGGCTCTTCCGAAAACCGGTCCGAAAAGGAAACGTCCGAAAAGCAGCCAAAAATGTCAGGGATTAGTACTTTCAAGAGTTTATAACCCCCAAGAGTGTGCAACTCCTGATCAGTCCCTGTATGGGAGCCCGCTCGGCGGAATTCCTTCATTGCGTCATTTTTGGTGCAGTGCGATGAGCCACGCCGATGAATTCTTCAAAAATTTAAAGTCAAACCAGGATGCTTCCCCAAGGTAAACTGCCTAAACTGCGATCCTAGTCTGAGCCTCAAGAAGCAAAAAAAGTGAAACAAAGCACACGATCATAAAGACAAAACTAAATTTTATTTTTTCGATGCAAAGGTGACTCTTCATCGCCTTCAGTCTCTTCAAGAACAATTTCTTCCCCAGGCCATCGGCATATTTCCGGTGCTTTCCTCGAAGATGATTTCAAATGGTTGAGAAACTTGAGAGAATACATGTACGTCGAAGGACGGCGGCATTTTTCGGCTGAGTTGCACACTGACAGCTATCAGAATGATTGTCCTCGACGGCAATGCAATATTTTTTAACAGCGTCCTCACTTCTTCCTGTCGCGATGTCCATGGATTCTTGGAGAAAGAGTTTGTTTTTGAGAAAGTACGACTTGTACGTCCGCGAAATGTCTTCAAAAAAAAGCTTCGAAAAGTCGTACAGCCTTGAGTTAGGAGCGGTTCAGGGTATAGTTTCCAGAAATCGCAAAGAACCCAAATTTACCTCGGATGACAAGCTGCGCATGACGTACTGTAGGAATTATTTCGCCGAGCGCTGGGTCTATGCCCGTTGCACACTCTTGGGGGTTATGAACTCTTGGTACTTTCCTATGCAGAAGTCCTGTCAGGCTGTATTTTCACTTTTCAGCGCAACTGAAGGCACAAATCACAGTACAGTGAGTATCGTTTATAAAGTGACCGGGTGTAACGATATACCGGCTATAATGATAGAACTCGCCAAAATCAAAATCAAATCACAAAAAAATACAGCTAAAATATCACTATACACACTATTATCGGCTATACCGATTTTTCGCTTATTGTGATGGGCTTCAGGAAGCAAACCATATCAAATGCACAGGAAAATATCGCATATACTGATCAAGAGTGATGATCACAAAACAAGTGTTCTTCCAATATAGTTCACTTCTTCCAAAACTGATCCAATGTTGCCTGGATGCATCTGGCAGCAGACATGATTGAGAGAATTTTCTTCCCTGTATGCTGTAAGCAGGCACACGTACACATGGCTGCTTTTCCGATGGTTTTTCCAGCATGTACGCATCATTTCATGCACAGTCATGTGCCATGTGTCAGTCATACATGCAAATCGGCTATAGTGATGCACCGGTTATAGTGATAAATTATCGAAAATCAAAGGGGCACGTTATATCCACTATTTACTGTACCTGTACAGTAAAAAAGGCTAGCGCTTACTCATGCATTACAAAATTCAGGGTAACTAAGTTACTTCGGGGTGCCATATCGGTTACCATGGCAACGGAGCAATTTTTCATGGTATTTTGGGCGTTATTTTGAATTCTTTGGAAACAATTTGCTGAAGAGAAAAATTCGCACCATGTGGCCGGCCTTGGCGGTGAACATGGTGCAGGGTGTCCGATTTTGGGCAAAAATTATTTGGCAGCACTGAACATGAATCTATTCTGGCTGTCAAGTCAATATATTTTTCGTTCCAGGGGGTGGGTGGGGGAGGGTCATAACTAAACTTTTTCGTTCCGCGAAAATTATCGATATTGCGGGATGGCCCCATACTAATTAGGCTTTACTTGACTGTGTGGATTGCGTCGGTGCTGACACTTTTTTCGAAATTGGACACGCCTCCAATTTTTTCTAGTGGTGTGCACGGGTAATCGGGTACCCGTGCTACCCGTGATGACCTCGGGTAGTCGGGTACCGAATAGTACCCGAAAACCCGAGGTCGCAGATGACATCATGTACAGTGCACGTGTACAAATAATTCACGCATGTCTACCCAATGCGCAAGGGAAGGGGCCGGTGTGCATTGTGGTCTTACCATGGAAACATTACCCGATCGGGTACCCGTGCTACCCGTGGAAAACTACCCGGACCCGATACCCGAAGAAAATGTTACCCGACTCAGCCCTAATTTTTTCCTTATACTTGTATTAAATATGGTGCCAAAAAATATACGACTCGTATACTGGTATGATTTGTATCTTACACAAATTATACCAGTATAATTATAAAAATTCACTTTTCATGAAATCTATGATGTTTTGAAGGCAGTTTGGGGAAGCAGGCAGACATGGTGGAAGTGGAAGGATTTTTTCCAGCCGTGCTGCGACCCATAGCTAATTGAGTACTCGTGGCCTGGCACGAGGGAAGCATGGATGTAGCGAATGGGATTTTTGGTCTTTGATCACTTTGGTAGCCGGTCTGATCCCCCCCACCGCTTTAGGAACTGCATCTGCACCTTGATCCTTGAGGGTGGTGGCGTTTATACGGATGCGGAAACTGGGTCTAACCGAGTCTCACAAGAACCGGGACATTGTTTTGCGGAGCTGCTATCTTCACATATGACTTTCACAGCCATGTCTCTTGAGCTATAAAGATGAAATTTACATGTCCATTGCCATGGCAGCCATGTCAATTATGGTGGATAAGCCATATCTCTCTTTTAAATAGACACCTTTGGTATATTGTCTGGTTTTCAGAGATCAGTTACTGGTTGTTATTTTATTCCAAATCCGTCAACAAGTCTTCACACATCTCAGTTATGATGACCATAGCCCCCCCCCCCCCCCCCCCCCCCTCTCTGGCTCCTAGACTTTAAAACTACTATACAGTGGCAGACTACTGTACATTGGAATGCGTAAACGAGCAATGTTCCCTTACCGCTCCACTGGCAGCATTGGCCTCTTTGTGAGCATGCTGAACCGAAACAAACAAAGCGAGACAAGAAAGAATACAAGAATAAGATACCATTCATTGTAGAGAGTGTGTTTGATCCTAAGGAGCACTAGAGCATCCACGAGAACGAGAAATCACCGCCAATTTAAGACAGTCACTAGCAATAAAAACAAAAATCAACAAAGAGCTTTTTTTTAAACCGGGCCCAGTACCTTGAATGATTTCACAGCCTCGTACAGCAGGTCACTGTAAACACCATCAACACATGCCAGCGAACTGAGATGTTCCAAGTGGTGGCAAACACTCTGTTAACATCAAGAAAAGAAAATATGCCCAGATAGCAAGAGTGAGCCAAAGCAGCACCATACATTCATTTGGGTGAAAGGAAACAAGACAGACAGAGAGAGAGAGAGAGAGAGCGAGAGAGAGAGAGCGAGAGAGAGAGAGAGAGAGAGAGAGAGAGAGATAAAGAGAGAGATAAAGATAAAGAGAGAGAGAGAGAAAGAGAGAGAGAATGTTGCACGTAAAATGATCAGCAATTTTCGTAACAAGGCCAATTGCAGTACATGTACGTGCATTGACACATGTTGCCACAGTCACTGAAATCTTTACCCAATGACAGCTACTAGTACTAGTATCCACATTCACGTGACCAGCAATTGATAAAGAGGGGATCCACATCTATCACTTGACCATACGGAACAGCCATGTTGGTTCCAGACCAGTCGACCTTCGCATCTATGGGTCACACGGTGTCGGCCATGTTGGTTCCACTGTGCACACGCCATGGTCACTTTCTGCACAAATTCAGTCAAAGGACAAAGATGTGAACATCACTCTATACCGGCACTGGTACGTGCACAATCATACTGGACATACCTGCACAACCTTAACCACCGACGAGATGGCATCATGGAGTGAGAGGTCTGCGAGTACTGAGTACTCCCTACGGAAGCTGCAAATGCAAACATAAGCGGACACACGGCATGCAACGTTACGCACCTTTAGCCAGGGCTGAGCTGTAAACTCCTTTAGGCAGGCCTGTGCTGTAAACTCCTTTAGCCAGGCCTGAGCTGTAAACTCCTTTAGGCAGGCCTGTGCTGTAAACTCCTTTAGCCAGGCCTGAGCTGTAAACTCCTTTAGGCAGGCCTGTGCTGTAAACTCCTTTAGCCAGGCCTGAGCTGTAAACTCCTTTAGCCAGGCCTGAGCTGTAAACTCCTTTAGGCAGGCCTGTGCTGTTAACTCCTTTAGCCAGGCCTGAGCTGTAAACTCCTTGCTTGCAACGCAACGCACTAAATGTAAGCTGTAGGCTGCTAGAAATTGATGGACAGTGTGCACGGCAAGAGCCCTGGCTAAGAAGAACGGAGCCTTCTTATTCATACCTAACTTTCTCTCTCTCGATGTTGATCCTTGTGACACGACTAGGTGCAACACCTCGGCTACAGTGAGCCTAGCTATTAGCACATGAATGGCATCTAACTTCTGACGTACATGTACATGTATACAGATACATTTTCGATACACACACAAGGCATCATTGCTACTGGCCCACAGCCCAGATAGGCGGCATTCGAATCACCAGTCCACACCCATACCTCAGCTATCAGCTATCCGGACACCGCAGTTACGGGCACTCCGG